AAAAAGTATATATATATATATATATATATGTATTAGAATATGTATCTGTTCCTGTTAATAATGTTAGCCTAGGAAAGGGTTTGGGCTTTTGTTCATGTGCTGGGTTAGACAAGGTTGGAAGTAAACAAGTGAATGACAATGAGTATAAGGCATAGAAAAAATAGTAGGAGAGCACCTGCAAACATATTACCTGCACAGTCTACCATTATGCACAATGGCAGCAGTGGCAAAGAGGTGGCTTCCTTGTATAGTTACGAGGCATTCATTTTTTTCCCAATTATCTACTCAAGGAAGAGAGTGGCCTTTTATAAGCATATTTATACATTGTCACAATATTCTAAGCCAGGTTAGGATCAGTAAAATAAGAAAATGTTCTGTGTAAACGAGGTGATCCTAGCAGAGGGGTGTTGCTTTTGTTTCCTACGAAAGTATCTACAGGTTCCACTAATTGAGATTTGGACCTACCATCTAGTTATGTCTTCTTCATGCGTAAAGTGCTGCAGCAGCCTTTTTCCACAGGACTCTCTGTGCATGTCCTCCAGAATGCAGACATAAGTCTTCAGACCTGCCGGTGTAGAATTGCTAAAGTGGCTGCAGGACTAAAACACAGGCAGCACAACATCCCCTAAGCTCCTCCTCGCCTCTGATGAGTGCCACATGCAGCCACTTCAGACCTCAGATAGAGTGGCAGTATCTGTGTGTACAGTATATACAGAGTTGAGGCGAGCTCCCCTAGCAATAGCATTTGATAAATGCATTTGGATGAAATTAATGTGTATAAAGAGTGGAGACCTTTAAACATAGCTATGAAGACAATTAAGCTATTCTGTATTACTTCTGCATTGCTAGAGAAATCCCATTTGAAACTAAGATTAACCAGACAGGGGTCACTTCGATAATTGTGCTATGGTGTCCCTTTCAATCTACTTACAGCCCTGTATTGGAACCTACCTGTAAGTCTAGATCTGTTTGTATGGTGCCTTTATGCTAATACATTTATTATGCTGTTTAATTGAAAAATAATTTCCTTAATGAAAACCATAACCTGTTCTATTTCTGAAATTTCCCTACTGAAAACATTGGCTGGTTCTATTGTGTAAAAAGTTGGCTTTCCTAATTTCCTTTTTTTTCTCTTTCACAGATGACAGAAAAGGTGAAGAGTATGTTAACATGACAAGCCAAGGAAGTAACTCTACTGCTCTCACAGAACTCCTAAGAATCATCTTTCCCGTGTTATATCTTATCATATTTGTGGCAAGTGTAATGCTGAATGGTCTTGCTGTCTGGATTTTCTTCCACATCAGGAACAAGACTAGCTTCATTTTGTATCTCAAGAATATAATGGTTGCTGACCTGCTTATGACAGTGTCCTTTCCATTTAAAATTGTACATACCTCCGGGATTGCTCCATGGCATTTCAATGTCTACCTCTGCCGCTATACCAGCATCTTGTTCTACACAAGCATGTACATTAGCATTCTCTTCCTCGGGCTTATTAGTATCGACAGATACCTAAAAGTGGTGAAACCATTTGGTAGCTCAAAAATGTACAGTATCAAATTTACCAAGATTGTGTCTATATGTGTTTGGACGGCTATGTTCTTGTTTGCCTTGCCAAATGTTATCCTTACAAATGTGCAACCAACCAGAGACAATGTCAGTGACTGCAAAAAACTCAAGAGTCCAGTTGGAGCCAAATGGCATGAAGCAACTACTTATATTACTATGTTCATGTTCTTTACTGTGATGGTAGTGTTAATTGTATGCTACATTTCAATATCACGCCACATCCAAAAGTCCAGTAAGCCTTTTATCAGTTGTTCAAGCCGAAAACGAAGACACAATCAGAGCATACGTGTTGTTGTAGCAGTGTTTTTTGTATGTTTCTTGCCCTATCACCTTTGTGCGCTGCCCTTCCTCTTCAGCCAGCTGGATACAGTTCTGAATAAGGATGTGTATAAGATCATGGGATACTGCAAGGAAGCCACTCTATTTCTTTCTGCCTGCAATGTGTGTCTGGACCCTATCATCTATTTCTTCATGTGCAGATCCTTCTCTCAGAGGCTGTTCAACAGATCAAGCATTCGATCAAGGAGTGAGAGCATAAAATCCCTACAGAGTGTGCGGAAATCAGAAGTAAGGATATACTGTGAATATACAGAGGTGTGACAATATATCAGCTGGACTACTGGGGTGTAATATGTAGATATTTTATAAATAAAATGTTAGATATGTGTGCTGGCATGAAACCTTTTACCAGTGTTTGGGGTGTTACATTTATGGACTGGAAATACAAAGGAACGCATAGTGGCGGAGGCTACCAATACCGATGCATCTGCCAGCAAAGGTAAAAGGAGTGGAATTTATAAGCTGCCACTGTTGACCCCTGTTTTTGAAAATGAAAGTTGCTTGGCTGTCATGCTGATCAGGTGACTTATATACATTCTGAGTTGGTTATCCAGAGCTACTATGCACATCAGACGTTCTGACATGATTGGTGTGTTTTACTACAGTGCCAGAATTTGCCTTTGCCTCTGTGTGCAGCCATTCCTCCTCCCCAGCATCTCATAGGGGAGCAGATCACCAATAGGAAAAACTCATGATTCAAAGGGAGCTTTTCATTTTTTGAGTTATAAAAGTTGTGCTGTGAATCAGTGTAATGGGGTGAGCAGGATCCCAGCAGGTCTTCATATTAAGGGGTTTATTAATAAAAGTTCCATCTGGTATATAGCTGGACATATACCATTCACATGGCACTAGTAAAGGAAATTCCTAAACTCATCAGCAATATTTAAGGGCACTAGTGCCGTGCGAACAGCATCCGCCCAGTGTAAGAACTCCTAACTGTATTCTTTTACAATAAAAGGTGATAAAAGTGCTAACTGGTTGTGTTTAGGAATTTCAAAAGCTTACCTTTAAAGTGGAATTCCAGTCAAATAATGTTTTTTTTTAATATTAGGATATGGTTAGTTTAGCTATGTTTGTTACCTCACTACCACTATATTGTATATTGCATGACTCGTTTGAATATATAGCATACTGGATTTAAATGTGTAATGAAGTAGATGGAGGAGCACAGTGAAGTGTTCTCTTAACTGATGACCTACATTACTATAGGCAAGATCTTGATGAACACATTTTATACCTCTTTTTAAAAAAATCCACACTACATTTCTTTTACCAGTAAGAAAGCTTCTGGATTCTTCTAAAATGATATTGATAACATTATTTAACAAAAACCTCTTAGTCTCATGATACAGTACTTTTACTTCAGCACAGTGTTACATATTTTTTTTACTATAGAACAAATCAGTGCATTTGCACTAAATAAAGAGATACATTGACTTATTTAATAAAGAATTTTCATTATTAACTGCGGTCTTAGTGCAGTTACACTTTTTGTTACCCCTCCTACCCTAACCGCTCCTGCAAGTCTTATATTTACCTGTCCCCAATCCAGTGAGGCTTTAGTCTTATCAAAATCTTCTGCACCCCACTCACCAATCAATCCTATGGAGTTTTTCTACTCAGAACTTGATGTTCACAGTATATGTTCTACATTGAATTTATTGTAGATTGTAAAACATATGTACAAGCCCGGCAGAGAAGATTCTGGCAGGTAACTGTGCAGTGCAGAGTAGGCCGCACAACCAGCTGATTGGGGGTAGGTGAGTATAAGACAGCAGGAGGGACTCAAGACAGGGAAAGCTTCAATTTCAGTGTAACTGCACTAAAAAGGAGGTTGTATTTTGAGTGCTAAGTCATTAGAATTCACTTTACTAAAGTCACACAAATACAAAATGAATTCTGATTGGTTGTTGTGGGTTGATGCACAGAAGAATAATCAGTCTTAAAAGTCTCTCTACCAATAAGCTGCATCTCAATATCTGCTGTTAAGTAACTAGACGTTTATAAGAATGGTCCTCACAGGCATGGCCAACAGCATGATTTTGGTAATAGGATGTCAACATTTCCACAGGCCATGGCACTAGGATTTAGGTAAGTATGCATCTGGGATGGTAAAGGGTGCATTACCTTAGCTTTACTTTATGATTAAATAATAGTGCTATCCTTTAGGAGTTTTTAGTAGGTAACATCAGATTAAGTGTTAGATGTAAAATAAAAGGCTGAATTTGGAGGTTAGGTGTTAAGGCTTTATGTAGTCCTAAAGCTTCCCTATATAACTTTGACTTTAAAAAAAGTGTTAGTTCCTGCTGGACTGCATTTCCCTTTCTGCTTGTTCGGGTGACACTATAGAAAGTGATGGTGACTCTCTCGTTGAGGGCAGATACAGGAATACAAATATTTTAACTCTTTTCCATTCTATAAAAAAACAAAAAATAGTTTTGACTTGTGTTGAACTTTAAACGCAGTCCTCTCCTACTATTAAACCGTTTACTCAACAGATGTTATCCATACAAACCAATCTTTAAAATAACCAATCTTATATTCTGATACAGTTGGGAAGTGTCTGTCAAGTTTTTCATTGTGGGCTTTTTTTATGTTAGTAAGATTCCCTCTTACTTCCTGTTCTGGTGTTATCACAACAGGAAGTGAGGAGAAAATTCTGCAACTAAAACACAGACTGCAATAAAATTCTGACATACTCTAATCTTTCCCCACTCAGAACTAAAAGGTTCAGACTAGAATTCACCTCTCAAACTAAATCAATGATTGAGCCAATCCCCTATCCTAATAATTCTGTACTTGAAGAGATACCATCCACTTTTGACAAGCACTATCCCTTTGTTGTCTGAAAACCTACAGTAGCGATTCAAACCCTTGTGTGTGGTATGGTTAACTAGAGCAATAAAGTATTCTAAAAATATAACAAAAGAAGTTGAAGATAAGGAAGGAAATTGAGCAATTAAGAACAAATATTGACAAAAGGGAAAGTGGCAACACAATTAAACTTCCTATGATTTCAGATTTGAAGAACATAAGCAGATATGATGGCGGCAACAGGTATAATACTGTCCATCCAACTGTAAAATTTGAGTTTCTCTCTTTTTCCCCTAACTCCCACACACACACACACACACACACACGTGACATCAAAGTAAACAGAATTTCTATTCTAAATAGTTCTATGTGGTTCTAAAGTTTCTGATTTTTCTTTTGATTATTTCTAATCCGAAAAAAAGAAACAGTCCCTGACTTGCTTCTCCTTGCTCCAGAGTTGAGCACTTCCGGTTTTCTATATACAGAGACAGAGGAGCTGTAATTTTTTTTCTCTTCCTCTCTACATACTGAAGTAGCCTGCAGTGCCCCCTTGTCACCCAGGGCAGCCGGGTGAGTGCTGGGGTTGGGAAGCAGCCACAGCATCCAGATATAAAAGTAATTCGGCAGATTTACAAACATTCCCAGTTTTCTACACTAGAGTTTAGCTGAGTGGGCAAGACCAGTACCCCTGACACCCAACCAGGCTTCTAGGCACCTGCTTGATTTACCTTGTTGGTGATCTAGCCCTGTGTGTATGTACGGTCACTTATGTCAAACTGTCATATTCAATCAAAATGTTTGTTTATTTGAAACATGCATTGATAGTCTGTAATATACTCTTTCTTAGGAACCATTACTTCTGGGTAACACCATCTACACACACCCACATAATGGTCATGTCTAGTGAAACCCTTCATTACAGCAATACCACTTGATGTCTTTTAATCCACCGTACTGAATTTTCCAGTGATAACACATTCCCATCCTTATATTAAACCATCATTTTTGTATTGTTTACACTAAGAAACAATTTATTGGCGAAACCTGTCAGCATCATTCAATTTATACAGCATTGTGACAGTGGAAGGTACCTTATAGTGTATCTAAAACCAAAACTTTTTTTCATATTTTAATATGGTGATGCCGGTTAGAACGCCTGTTTACACTGGGGAGATTCACATTCTCTATTTGTTCTAGTGACCACTATTACTGGGAATTAAGGTTTTAGCAATCACCAATCTCAGGAAAAGAGAAGTCTTTCAATGGAGACACTTGTTTTGGTGACAGCTATCTAAGAGGGGATCTCCCTTGCTTTGGGGAGATTTTGCTTTCACATGAGGACAGGAAGTACAGGAAGTACACAGAAATCTCTGCACAAGGACATGTAAAAAAGGGGTTTTAACCTTTCACTAATCTAAACTCTTCCCAATCTAAATTTTAAAAAATAAAAGGTTGGGCTTCATTTACATGAAAGACAAATGTCTTGACGCATTTCATGCTATGGACTGTGATCCTATTTGCTGTTGTATCTAATTTACACAGCCCCTGATGAGTCAGAGCTAGAACTCTCCAAATCTCTGCACAAGGACATGTAAAAAAGAACTAACAGGAGTTTTAACTCTTCACTAATCTAAACTCTTCCCTAATTTAAATAGAAAAAAAAGATTGGGCTTCAATTACATGAAAGACAAATGTCTTGTTGTTGTATCTAATTAACACAGCCACTGGTGAGTCAGAGCTAGAGCTCTCCAATCAGCTGACAACATAAGCTTTGCTGATTGGAGAGCTCTAGCTCTGGCTCTGACTGTTGGAAACCACCTCTTCCACACAGAGATCAATGGCCTTTCTTTAGAGCAGCTGGCAGGGGACAGGCTTTTCTACTTAAACTGTACCTGCTTTGTAAAGAAGAAAAAAAGGTGACACTCTGAATATTGTTTATTTTGATGGAATGTATTTAGTTAACCTAAACTGTAAGTTCACTTGGACTTTAAGTAACTGTTAACTTCTCTAATCATCAGGTTAGGAGAGAAGAGTTGAGAAAAGTTTAATGTAATATTAAAGTCAAAAGGTTTTTTAGCTATTTCAAATGGTGATGAAATCACTTACAATGGATGCTGCTCCTTGATGTTTAAAAGTTTTAGTTTCTTGCAGAATCAGATGGTCCCCTGAGCACTGGTCCTGATATCCTGTTTTAGGGTGGCTCCTTTCTCTTGTAGGGTCCTGAGGAGCCACCCTTGTGTGCACTAGTAAGCTGTGTATGTCTCCACAATCACACAGACACAGCAAGGCAATCCACTCCCCTCCTTTCTGCTCTCCACTCCTCCTTCTTCCCTTCTCCAAGCTAGTAGGTGGACAGCTGCTGGATTGTGCTGTCCCTGTGAACTGTGGAGCTGACAGAGTTGGAGCTGTTCTGAAACATGATTACTGTAAGTGCTTTGGCAAAAATTTAAAGAAATTCTTTGCAGGGCAATGTATATTTGTTTAATCTGGATTCAT